CAGACTTCTTTACACCAATGCTAGAAGTGTCTCTGACGCCAGAAACAAAACAGAAGCTCTAAAAAATGGAAAATACATTCCCAGCTCTGCCTCCTGTTCTGCTTAACTGCTGTTTGTCCAGGCAGCACCGAGCTCCAGCTGCTCTCCTGTAGCTGCACATCTGAATTTCTCCCACGCTATCTCCTGTATTTAATTATTTGCCAGTAAAGCAAGAGCTTTTAATTTTCTGTACTGCAAATTCCTGATTTTTTCACCCTTTAAAACCTACTATGAGCAGGGAATTTCACTAAATGTCCTCTGCAACTTCATTCTAATGCATCTCAGTAACAATAATTTGCAGAGGTTCATATCAGACCTCTTGTGTGTGTATATATATGTATACATATATATTTACATATACTGTAGATATATTACAAACACACAGAGCAAGGAACAGAAGAGTTAAGTGGCAGATAAAGGAGTCTTCCTTTTACAGTTTCAATTTATTTGAGCCTAAACCCAAATCTGCTCTGAGAATGCAGAGAGGAAACAATATTTGAGCCCTGGGGCTGGAACCAAGAGTTTGGGTTGAACTCAGAATCCATCTCTGAGTGCCAGTGGGCACGAGAGAGCCTGAAGTACGGTTTAATTTTTGCAGCTCGTGCTTATGATCTGGTCAGAGTCAAGTGTGTTACACAAGTGAGCTCAGCTCTGTCCCTGGGGATCAGTGGACCAAGAACCCGCAGTCTGCAGTGACTCAGCCAAGCCCAGCTCAGTTGCAGGACACTGGACAGATTTCAAACTACCCTGACAAACGCTGGCACCACCACAGTGTGCACAGGCTGGCTGAAACACAGCTCCTCTCCCCACCTGAGCGCTCCATCCCCTCTGCTTTCACAAGCAGCAGTGTTTGCGTGGGTGAGCTGTAGCACACACAGCAGCGTCAGGAGCCTGCTCTGAACTGCTTTCCCTCTTTACCTCCCTGGCAAGGGGACATTTGTCAACCCACCTAATTTCTCCCTTCCTCCACTGCACAGTGGGAACTTGGTCCAGTATTTCCTAGAGATGCTCCCAGGACCTGCCCCATGTCCCCAGCACTGAGGCCCTGCCCACCAGCAAAGCTTTTGGCTTTCCCCAAACCTTCAGCAAACCACCCTGACAGTGAAGTACCACCCTTTGGGGAGGAAATCTAACCAAACAACATAAAATCTTCCTTGCCTGTGCCAAAACCAGGCATTTGGACCCAACACTGAAAGCATGCCTTTACATTCTCCTTCAGTGAGGAGAGTGTTTATCAGCACACTTTTAGGAAGGAGAATCCAGGACTACAAGTGGACCCAAGTCTACACATCCCAAGTTTTTTGTGCTGTTTTTAATCTACTAAATCTTGTCACAGTTGGGTGCAACACAGTGAATGTCTCATTAAGAGTGGCTGTGGTGCCATGAACACCGAGGAGGTGACCCCAAATCCCACTGATTCACACACGGTTTGTGCAGGATCTCCAGCAGTTTGCAGGTGAGGGAGGCTTCTGTCATCCCACTGGGACAGGGGCAGACAGTGCCTCATTCCCCTGTAAGGTCAGATCCTTCCACCTCATTTTAGAATTGCAACAAAGGAAATGTCATTTCGTCCATGTTCAAAGAGCATTCCAGGCAAGGGATTTGCTTTCATGGACACATGAACAAAAATCCAGCAAAAACCAGACTGAATTATTATTATACCCACCTTAGATCCCAGCTCACTACTACCAGACTATGTACTTTTTCCCTGGTTTTGATAATTTCACAAGAACTCCTTGTTTAAAACTCCTTTTCTGCAAATTCCAAGCAATATTTTATTTTCTATTTCCCACACTTGTATTTCCAGCCCGGGCTGGGATAACATAACAACAAACACATGGAGAACACGCCAAAGGACACGCTCATCTTTAGCTTCTCTTCTGCAGTTTATTGTATAAATTAACGCTTTGAGACACTGAGAGCACTCACATTTCCAAACAGAAATCAGTTCCACACAGATACTGGTGCAAAGAGTGGTTTATCTCAGGGTGAGGTGGCAGCCAGTGGATGAGGCTGTTTGAGGGTAACTCCTCAGTCCATAACTAACATTTGTGTGACCTAAATCGGAGCACGGTGCACCAACAGAAACACTGGACTTTGGTTGGTAACAACCAAATATTTGGACAGTACAAACAAGAGAAGAACAATTCGACCCCAAGCAGAGCTGTGAATTCACTAGGCTTGGAGACCACCTCCATCATTTTCCTGAACTGACATTATTATAAATAAATAGGTGCCAAATGTTCTGTTTGGTGTTCAGTTGCAATCATTAAAACACAAGGAAGCTCCTGTGCAGGCAGGTGTTGTACTCCAGTGAATGCCACAGGTCACCTTTGGCACATCACAGACAGGACCCAAACACAGAAATAATAATGCAATAATCCTGATCTGGCAAGAGGATAAATGAGGAAACTTGGAGATCCTTCCCTTCTCCAATGCCAATAATTGCTGAAAAATTTATTAAACCAAGACTGAAATACAGCAATCACCTCTCAGTTATACAGTACATACTAAACCCCAATTTTAATTAAATCCAAGCAAAATAAATCTTATTCAACCCAGAAATGCCAGCAGCTGGGGTGACTGCAGTGAAATACAGGTCACTGTCACAAGTAGTTATTAGGATCTTAGAAATCTGCATTAATTTCTCTTAAAGAACTGCTGTAATGTAAAAACAAAATGAGACACTTCATAAATAACATCTTTATTAATGAGTTTTCTTTTTCACATTCTTTAAAGTGATGTTGAATTGAAATCTGCATAGTCAAAAGTGCAAATTAAAAAAAAAATTCATAGAAGTCAGACCCAAATGTGAATGTTGCTTTTGTTTAAGCAAGACTGGTGACAGTCTTAGGAATAAGATAGAAATGGTCAGGGAGATGTGGAGGGGAGCAGGGATGAGAACCACCAGGAAAACTCTCCTCAGTTATTTGTCTATTAATGAAGTCTTCACACAAAGACACACAACACTCATTCACATTCAAGTGCACAACAGAAGGTAAACTACAGAAGGAAGATCCTTCCTCTGCTGAATGAAACAGAGCAAGATTGTTTGTGTACTTCACTGAGGGCTGCTCAGCTATTCCCACAGCAGGAACAATTCCAGTGCCCAGGTGGATAAACACAAGGTCTGGATTTCTCCATGCCCTTACTGCAACCACATTCCAGGCAGCATCCCAGCAGGAACCAGGAAATCTGAGTGTTTCCATAACACTGAGAACTGTTCTTAACACACACTTTTAAAGCACTGTCACCTCCCTTCCTTTTCAATTTCTGACAGGATTATCCCTTTCTCTGCTGCTGTTGTTCAGGGCTGGCTGGAAGAGCAGGTGCCCGTGCAATGGCTCAGCCTGTGGAAGTGCAGCACAACGTCCCCACCTCCAGCTTCATTTCCATCAGCACAGGCAACACAGTCCCAAGTCTCTCACATCAACACCACACAATGTGACTCTGCAAGTAGTACCTTTAATGTTTACACACCATCTAGTGATTTAGCTGTTCTCTGCATTACGGCCATCAGCAGAAAGAGCTAGAGAGAAAACCCCGCGAGGCACATCCCCTACACAACGGCTGCAGGGAGTAAAGACCCACACACTGCCCACTTCTTACCTCCAGTTTGGATTTCTGCAGCACAGACACTGCTCTACAGCTGAGCACTGGCTCAAATGCAGGATTCTCTTGTGCTGGTCATTTGGAAAAGCCATCTGATACCATCACAAACACACAAACCGGGCTTAATGCTCTGCAAGTGATTCTGAAGCAATAAACTTCATTTACAATTTATATTAGCTGTGCTCTGAATTATTCATCTTATTCAGATGCACAGTCTAGGGCTGTGGGGAACTGATCATCAATATTCAATCATACCAGTTCAGATTTGGGCAAGGAATAAGTCTCATTTATTTGCTATGAGCCTACAGGCTTTAAATCTGAGATTCCATCCCAGAGAAAGTTATTTATGAAATCAAACCAGTCAGAAATACATTTGCTGCCATGGATATTAGAAACATAAGGCCTAAAGTATTTTGGAGAAGACCTACAGCAGGCAGTGAAGGGGATTCAGTAAAACTTGCAGCAGTTTGTGTTTGTACAAGGGGAAAACCAACTACACAGTGAAACTCAAACCCCTCACGGTGAAACGGTGACTTCAGGCATGAAACCCCACCTTCATTTGGCAAAGGAAAATAAAACATCCCCAGACATGGAAGCACCAAGCCCAGCTCCCAGGCAGCACCAACAGAATACTGACAGATAACAGCCCCTCTTCAAAGATAGCCTGCTCTGTCCTTGGGGAGCCAACACACCCAGCGACAGAGAAAACCAGCACGCTGGGAACAGGGACTGCAGATAACTGAATTTTACCCCAGAAATAAGTCCCCTGGGCAGCCAGCAGCTGCCCCACTGGCCAGGAGTCAGGGCAAAAACCACATAAAAGAATCCCTCTTGTCCCAGTTTAAAATAGCAAAAATAAGACTGGCCAATCGGGGTGTGAGCTGATAAATTTTCACGAGTAGCAGTGGTAACACTTTTTTTTTTTCCTGGTGATTTCACAGGCAAATCTGCTGGTAGACCCAAAACCTAATGAAATTGGAAACAGGATATTTAGCTCACTAATATTCTTCATTTTTTCTTTCTACAGGAAGAAACTGTATTTCTTGTGCCACATCAGGGGTTTAATTCCAGAGCCCAGTAGATTAAGACCACTTTTGATATTAGTTTAAGATTTACTTTGGCACAGCTAATTGACATTATTTGTACTTGAAGGGCAGCACATTGGATTTTTCCTTTACTATGCAAAATCCTAAAACAAATGCAATTTGGTAGTCTGAAAAAAACCCCACCTTACTCTAACCTACAATGAAACTACTTTGTGGCCTGCTGTGTTCCAGGAAAATATCCCACATATTCAGATCACCAGGCAGCCTCACTAGTTAAGACACATTAAAACGAAACATTTCCCATTGAAGTTGCCAAAAACTGGATTTGAATTTATTGCATGACGTTGCATAAGAAAGTGTATTATTGAAAACTGTAAGGCATCATGCAATTATCCATCAGCTAATTATTTATTATTCCTTGAAAGATGGTTATATACTCTAAAGTTATAAAACCAGTTTCAAAAAAGTACATAAAAAAATTTAACATAAGCATTAAATATTTTTTTTTTTTCTTTCACATGTTCATCGTTTTTAGCTGTTAAAAAGTGCATTCAAACATACTGTACTGGAAAGTTGCTCTGACCAAAAAAATGGTGCTGGAGACTCATTAAATTAAAAGCTGCAAAAGGAAGTTTTGCACGGGATTAGAAAGCTCACAGGTTGTGGTATTTAAACTTACAAAGGCGAAATAATTTGTCGATCCTCCACACTTATAATTTAGCATCAATGACATCATTAGCTAAAAAGGTGTATTTTTCTAAGTGAACAGTCAGATGGGTTCAAGTGACGTACACTGAGTGATCAGACGAGCAGCAGGCGAGGGGCAGGGTCAGTTGATGTACTGGGCCATCCAGCGGAACCCCTCCCCATAGCCCTGCCTCTTGAGCACACTGCACATGAACACCTCCAGGGGCCTGGCATTCAGCTCCTTCAGGGGGGTGCTGCCCTGCAGAGACACAGAAATCCTCCCAGTTACAGCCTCCTCGGAAAACAACACCTACTGCACATGGACAGTCGTTTCTATGGAATGTCAGTGCTGAGCTTGTGTTGGACACTGGACTTTAGAACAGAAATGCATCTCAAATGGTTTGGGTTGGAACCCATTCTCGAATGCGTAGAATGGGTTGGGTTGGAAGGGACTTTGAAGCTCATCTTGTTCCAACCCCCTGCCATGGGCAGGGACACCTTCCACCAGCCCAGGATGCTCCGAGCCCCGTCCAACCTGGCCTCGGACAATTCCAGGGATGGGGCAGCCACAGCTTCTCTGGGCAACCTGTGCCAGGGCCTGCCCACCCTCACAGGGAAGGATTTCCTCCTGACATCTAATCCAACCCTGCCATCCCAATCTCAGTAACACGTACACAAGGGATACACAAAGCATATTTTCATGTGTTGAAGGCGTATTTTCATACGTTCATCCACACTGGAGAGGGTGCAGTACACGAAGCCAGAATGGAACAGCAACGTGTCCATAGAGAATTTTAGAGCTTTGGTTTTCAGTCACAGTTCCCTGTTCCGTTTCCAACAGTTTTCCAACCAGATAAAAAGAGCATTTGCTACCAGTTTTAGGACTGACCAAAGCAGGAGTGCAAGGTGCTTGCTTGCCAAGATCAGCAGAGTGCAATAAAGCCGTTGCTCAACTGGAGCTTCACAATGGTGTTCAGAGCTCATCGACTGCACGTGGGGGTGTAAGAACCAGAGAAAAAGAAGGCAAAGATTTTGTTCCTGCTCAGCCTAAACTCTGACTGACACTGAACTTTAGGGGAGGCCCCTAAGAGTGAATAAACAAGGAGGAATTGCAAGACCAGGTGCTCTCAGCAGAACCACGGTGCTGGTCAGCTCATGGGAGCTGGGATGGAATCCATGCTGGAATGACTCCATCATGTAAAGCCTGTACTTTACATGAGAAAACTCACTTACTGAAAGACTTCATCTAGTTTTTTCTTAGATAAGGCAAGTTCTTAAATAAGGCAAACAAACTCCCTAACAAAAAAATCTCATCAAACCAAAAACCCATCAATAAAAAAAAAAAAAAAAAAAAAAGGAAAGAAAAAAGGAGCAATACCTTTCCTGTTGTCTGGCCATACAGACCAAATGTCTCTCGTAACCTTTCTTCACTGATGGCTTCTGGTCTGTCAATCTTGTTACCAAGAATTAGGATAGGCACATTAGCAATAGTTTCATCTGTCATTAGTGACTGGAGAGGGAAGGAGAAAGAAGGAGTGATGAATTTAGAATACAGGTCAAATTGCTCCTACTCATGTGAGGTGACAGCAGGGCTCTGTTGGGTGCTGGGTATTTGAGCCGAGCTCTTACAAGTGAAAGGTCACACTTTCAAAAGCTCCTTTAAACTTACATCAAGTTCTTCTTTTGATTCAAGCAACCTTTCATGATCTGCACAGTCCACCAAGAACACAATGCCATTAATTGCAGGCAGGTAGTTTTTCCACACTCTGCGAGCTACAGGGAAAATGAGAATTAAAAATAAAAGGAAATTATCCCCAAATTCAGAGTGATGTACATTGGTAATTAAGGAGCAGCAGGTACAGTTTTTTTATTTGACTTTTTTTTAAGTCTTAGCTTATGCTGCCAGCATTCAGGATGCAATCCCATGTTTTACTTGAAATGACAGAGCAAAAATATCATCCCTTTACTGTTATCACCCCTCTATCCCCCATGGATGCTGATGCACAGAACTCCTTTTGTTTCCCCAAGAATTATGTCACTGAAGTTAAGTTTGAAGCATAAAGCTTAAAGGTAAATATAAGCAATTCAAAGTACATAATCCCCTTCACAGTATTAGACAAAAGTTCCTGCTCTACTGCAGCTCCTGCCAAATTGTATTTGGGATAAGTGATAAGTGGAGATGGACAAAAAAACAGACAGTGTCTTTTATGCTTTCAAAGAAGAGCGTGGGAAGTCAGCCTTTGCAGGAAGGCTGCATTTCTGACTGGAAACAAACTCCAGCCCAACTCACTGAGCTCAAGTGAGTCAATGCACACTCTTACCTTGAGCATGGCCACCCAGATCAAAGGTAGTGAAAGTCATGCCAGCAATTGTCAGCTCTTCTGAAGCTGGAAAGACACAGAGTTATGTTCCTGTGAAGATTGTTCCAATGCACTGCACAGTCTCACCTTCTAGCACATACACCTTAGTTTTTCTCTTGGTTCTTTTCAGTGTTTTGTTATTCAAGAAGCAAATGAGAGTAAAACGTTCTCTCAAAATCAGTGACAAGTTCGTATAACACCAAAATGTTATTAACCATTAAAGCATGTGTGAAATAAAATATCTACAACACTGAGAACAGCAGACAGTATTCATACATTATGTATCCCTACATATTACACAAACAACAGTTGGTTCTGGCATCTGGCTTGCCAAAAAGATGGCATTTTGTGTCCAATACTGTTCAAGGTTTCTCCTCGTCACATCCTTTCCCAATTTCTCACCTCCTTACTGGACTTCACCAATCCACATTTTCAACCTGTGCTGAACTTTTTCTCCTGCAAGGTTACCAGGATAACAATTACACAGCAACCTTTGAGACACAAACTCTTAACTTTCCTGCTACACAGAAAAGCTGGTCCCAAAAACTGCAAGCCCCTTTTCCCCACAGCTTCATCGTTCTTCCTCTCAGTTTCATTATCCTGCTTGTTATTCACCTCCTTAATTTAATGTAACACACTAAACTATCCTACATATATATTTTTTAATATTACTTGAATTATCTAAAGATTGCATCCCCAAAATCACTTTGTTTCTCCCAATTACACTGTTGGTCTTAGGATGAAGAATCAAATCCTGCTTTTCCTGCAAGCCTTCAAACACTTTCCAGTCACAGGACCAGCAATATTCACTTACTGGGGTGTAACGTGGGCACGTGTTGCCCCAGTCTGTCATCTTTGAGCATGTGCAGCAGTGTAGTTTTCCCAGCATTGTCCAGGCCAAGGAACACGAGTTTGCCTGATTTCTTGTACAGTCCTAGAACAAAGAAGGACCCAGTGAGTAATCAGTTCAAGCGGTGGGAGTTCATTTCCAGCCCTGGAGATGATTTTGCTCCCAGGAACAAAGTGTTACAGTCACAGTGCAAAATACAGGCCAGCCAAGCCCCAGCACACACTTTATCAGTGTCACTTTATCACCAGTGCCCTTTGTCCACATTGTCCTCCTCGTACAAACCACATTCCCACCTGCCACGTGCCTGCTGCACTGGGTACCCTGTGGTGTGAATGTGTCACTCCTGGAAATGCAGTTACCTTCTCTGAGGAAAAGCACTGCAGAGCAGGACTGAACACTGCCAGTGGAGTTTACTGTGCCCCAGCAAGAGGCCAGTTTGCTCACAGGAGGTGAGGGGTGGGTGTATAGGTCCAGCACCAACAGTAGGCTCTGGAGCACGGACCTGAATCCGCACAGGGCTCTGTTCAGCTACCTCCAATTGCAACAAAAACCTTGTCTGAGGCAAAAAGAGAATTCAGGCTTCAATCAGAATATTACAGAGACATTGGTTTCAATGTCAATGGTCATAATTAGTCCATGTATGAGTTCTTCAGTGTTGGTTGATACATTATTTGGACAAAGAGTAACTTCCACCCACACCCCCAGGAAAAGTGGTGGCTACGTCCTGAATGGCCCTGTCAGGGCACTTCTGACACACCTGCTGCCATGTGACACTGCTTCCATAAAAGGAACAAGAAATCTTATTTTCATTGATTGTCATCTTTATAAGAATGACTTTTGCCCTTCATCTCCCCTCTAGTCAAAGCCCCAGAAATGCAACAGTTGCTGTGAAGGAGTGGAGAAGACGTTTAAAACACCAACACCATATTTTCTTAATGTTGGAGATTATCAAAGGGTAATTCTCTAATAACTTGTCAACACTACATCCTCTGCCAGAATTAGCTTTCACTGCTTCAAACTGATTGATGTTCAAAGTAAAACATTAAGATAAATTAAATTTAAAAACAAAGCATCGATCCTGTTCTGTACTGAAAAAAAACTATCTGAAGTGTTACCCTCACGTGTGTTTTCTGTGGTGGGATTTCAAGCCAGGCCTGCTGATGTCACAGCATTGCAGGGGCACAGGTGGCTCTGCCCAGACCTCTACACTGCTGCTGTTTGCTCACCTCTCCCTCTGCCTTTCAGCTATCTCTGGGATCATGTTCCAGAGGGACATGTTTTGTAACCTGCACAAATGGATATTCTCTCCCATTCCTCATCTTGTTTCATTAATGATCTTCATTACTCCAGGTCCTGTTGAGTGTCCTCACAGTTCTTTCAAACACAAGCAACTCTTACTTCCCAAACTCACCTTCTCACAAGGTGTATACAAACTATTGAACCACAGAGAGGAGGAGAAAGCGTAAATGTTTACAGAGCAAGAAGAAGTGACAAACATTTTCATGTATCTACTCACATCACAGGAGAAACTCACCTTGTGAGTTAGACAGAAGTCTCTTAACCTACAGTGAAACAATACCATGTTTGCCACTCTCAGCCTGCACATAAAGGAGTCTTTGCTCCCCAGGAACACGTTGCTGCTTTCCCCAAAACATTTCAGGCTTCCCAAGTGTCTGTCACAGAAACACAAGGCTAACTTCACTTATTGGCTGAATTAGCCAGAATTAGCCTTTGCTTGCCCAGGAATGGAAGAGCAGGGCAGGGAGCAGCAATCACTGCACAGCTAAGGAAGAGGAGATAACAAAGATTAGTCGCCTTGGTTAAAATTTCACTGGCTGACATTTTGACAGTAGGCCAAGGGTCCAACATTCAGCGAAAAGCTTTAAACTTTCAGCTGATAAAAGGCAGGTGGCACAGCCTGCCATGATTCCTTAGCCTCAGATGCTTTTTGACCACTTCAATAGAATCCTCTGAACTCGGAAACTGTGCCTTTTACCTACAAGATCTGCACCTTCCCTTCCTTTTTCAGTATCCTGACACTCATTTTCCTCCTGGTTGTGGGGTTTTTTCCCCTCCTTGTTAAGCACAAGCTAATATTTCACCTTGGACTGATCTGCACTGCAGACTCTTTGGGCCAGGGAATTATTTTCTGGGGCTCCTGAGCAGATGCCAGGGAAGTCTGATGCTGATTTCTGTGACACCAGTCACTGAACAACGCAGTGCTGAACGTGAGAAAGGGCTTCAATACCTGGCACTAGTTTTTTGTAGACAGTCCCTCCTATTTGGATTCTGAAGTAACATCCTCATGTGCAAAAGAACTGAACTAAAATAACTGAGGTCAGCTCTTTACAGCAGAGAAAAATCAGAAGGTCCACAAAAGCCAACTGAACTACAGTAGTTTAAATGCACTATGATTAGAAAAGTCCAACATATTATGATCATGAAAGAAAATGTAGGTTTTTTTCAAGAAGTTAAGGTTTAATGTAAGGTTGAGTGGAGAGCAGAGTCTGGAAATCCTCAGTATTGATAAGTGAAACTTTTGTTTGAGTGTTACTGAATATACACCAAACCAAATATTATTATTTAACCAACGGCCTTGTTTGAAGATAACAGAGGTGAACAGACATTTTACACAAGAATGGCAGAAAGGAAAAATCCCAAACAATAAAGACTTACCTAAAAACTGTAATATGCTACTGAAACCACTGTAAATCCAATCAAATAGGAACATATCTGAATCTTACAGTCTGAAATAAACAGAAAATATAATGCATTTAAGATCTGTCAGAACAGCACATTAAGCATTGTAAAATATTCATAGGTAACAAAAGTAATCCAAAGTCCTGGGTTAAAAATAAAAGTCAATTTAGTTTTGGTAAACTGTATCATGGACCAATTAAGTGACCCCATAACACATTAAAAATTAGTGTAGAAATGGAAAACAGAATCCAGACCTTGTGATTCAACATCAAAGACTTTCTCTTCCCTCAGGGAAACACTATGTGGACTGAGGCCTTTGCAAGAAGTAAAAATAACTCTCTCCTCAGTATGACTTGGTGGAGATGTGCAATGATCCACTGAAGATTTCAAACAGGATCTTCACATACAGTTTTCAACTGGGAAAAAGCAGCACTTTGGAGAGGGCACTGGAGGGGTATCAGTGCAGGGTCAGCGCTCCAGCCACCCCTGGGAGCTGCTGGAGTTCAAAGCAGAGGCAGTAAGAGGCGAAGAAGTTCTGTGGTTTTGAATCTAGAGAAGTTTGATGCCAAACAAACCCCTCCTGCCCACACAGAACCTGTCTGTTTGGCTGTTATGGGGAATGACTACCTAGCACAGAGCTCTGGAATTGCCATTCAAAGGCAGTGACCTCCTGTACTGTCCTGCACAGGCTGCCACAATTTCAACCTTAAATGCAGAATTTATGCTAAAAAACCCCTCTAGAACAGCATGTTTCACACTGAGTTCCTTCAGCTTAGATTTGAGAACAGAAGGTTGAGCTGAAAGCCATCAGTGGGTTCACTGTGCAGCCATGAGCAATTAATTACCTAACTTTCATTCTTATTTCCTCATTATCTGAAGGGAGGATAATCACAGAGTCATTAAGGTTGAAAAAAGACCTCTAAGATCATCAGGTCCAACCCTCAGCCCACTGCTGTCATGTTCACCACTTAAACCATGGCCCCAGTGGCCACATCCACAAAACCTTTGAACGCTTCCAGGGATGGCAATCCCAGCACTATCCTGGGCAGCCTGTGCCAGTGCCTGACCACCCTTCCAATGAAGGCATTTTTCCTGGTATCCGATCTGAACCTTCCCTGGCACAACTCGAGGCTGTTTCCTCTCATCCTGTCCCTTGTTACCTGTGAGCAGAGCCCGACCCCACCTGGCTCCACCCTCGTGTCAGGGAGTTGTAGGAACAAAAAGGTCTCCCTTGAACCCCCTTTTCTCCAGGCTGAGCCCCCCCAGCTGCTCCTCATCAGACTTGTGCTCCAAATCACACTGAAAGCACCAGTTTGACCCAGTGAACTCATACCTAGTATGAAAACCTCCTGAAAGACTGAAGGGCAACATCCCCAGAAGCATTTAGGCAGCTAATTCCTGCTGGAATGCATGACCCCTGTGGACACTAGAGTCTGGGTGCCCTGGAGAAACCGGACTGCACTGCTGAGCACAGCTGCTCCAGGTTCCTGCCACACTCCTTTGGAAGCTGCAGGGGCATCCAAAGATGACTTCAGGGCAGCTCTGAGCCTGGAGCACACACAGGAGTCAAAACATGGCTCTGAACCAGACCCAAATCCAGGCACCTGTCCCAGCAATCACACTCGTGACAACCAGGAGTTTCTCTGCTGTGCAACAACAGGTACATCACCCAGAGATAACACGGGAAGAGGAGGGCAGAATATTTAAATGACATTTGCCTGCGCTGGAACAAAATCTGCTCAGATGACGAAGCACTGGGTGTCTTGGTTTCGCCACCACTAACCCTGAAACCTTTACCCACGTCTGCACAGCTCTGAACAACTCACCAGCTGCAACAGGCACAGGTTTGAAGGATACAAATCAAACACGCCTGTCAAGGCATAAACACCCAGTTACACAACGTCACGACTGAAACTGTCCCTTGCCTGGCTAAAAAGCAAAGGTCAAGAATAAGCAAACATGGCAGAACACACATGTCAGCAGATTTATTTATTGCTTGAGCAAAATACCGATGGGGAAAAGCCTCTGTGGGGCTTAGGAAAAGCATCGACTCAAATAACCTGCAAATCAGGGCAAACAGCCTGATGGAAGAGAAGTGCTCAGGTTTCTGAGGTGAGAATAACTTCAGTGTTCGGTTATATTACCCTTTTCCATCTATTAATCTTCTGTTTACGAAAAACACCAACCAAAACAATCTCTGTGCGTTACAGAAAAAAACTTTCAGGGGTGAGATTTAAATGATTAACGTGAGAACGGGATTACTCCACAAACACAGCTGAAGTGGCACAAACGTGGGTTCCACTTCCATCAGCACCAGAAAAGTGGTGTTAGAAACAGAGCTACCCAAATCCTCCCAGAACAGCCTCCGTAGCAGCTGGCAGCAGTTAAAGGGAAACACTTTCCAAATGGGGAAAAAATGGGCAGCTAATTGTAAAGGCACACAGGCAATATTTGAATAGAGATATTAAATCTGCTCTTATCGCACAGGAAAAGTAACTCCATAATTCACAGCTGTGCCAAATCAAAGCTCCACAAAGTGGCTCTGCACTGGGATCCTGAGTCGTTACCAGGTCCCAGTCAGAGCTGTGCCAAATTTAGGGGAGAGCTGAGGCTGTTGAATATACATGGACTGAAACTCTCAGGCTCATGCTAAAAACACCATAAAAGCAGAACAAGGACTCCAGCAATCACTGTTCACGACCCATGTGAAGACAAAGATACTATTTTAAGGCTATTTCAAGGGTTCACTTGAAAATAATCTGCTGCAAGCAGACAGAAATTTTGAATTAAAAACTATGCTGGACCAAGTAAGTCTTTTGATACCAACTACTTTTACAGGCATCACTGTGCCTCCTCCACAAAGACACCAAAGTTAACTTTCCAGCATCAACAACAGATGGCTACCACTGAAAAATGCCCCCAGCAACCCTGGTGAACGTTATTTCATCAGCAAAGCGTCACCCAGTAATTCCTGTGGAGCCCTTTCCCCCGTTCCACAGCCCAAGGACAGGGGGTTCACTCACTGGAGCCCACTCCTGACTGTGGGGAATGAGGAATTCCCACACAGTGGCCGTGATAACACCCCGAGCCAGCCTCCTGAAGGGCATGATGCTGGACTAGCAAGCAAACTCACACTTCTTTTATATCCTGGAAACTGGGAATTTTTTTCTCCTATTCTCAACTTGCATTTTTCTAAAAATCCCTCATTTCCCTTCCAAACCTCCGGACAGCGCTTACTTCCGAAGCCTGTGCAAGTTTACGCAAGAGAGAATATTGGGCTTTTAAAGACAGTTTGAAACCCCTTTATGGGGTAATTAGGTAACAGAAACCAGTGACACCCAAGCCCAGCAGCTCTTGCAGGAGCTGGGAACACGCTGAGCCTGCGTGGGGACCGTCAGCAAGGGCAGGGAACAAAGCTCTGCCCAGCCCCACTGCACCAAACCTGCACCCCAGCCACAGGCCAGTCCCAAACCACAACCTGCGAGCAACAGCCAAGGGTGTATTTTTAGTTTTTAGTAGGATCTAAATACGATCACTCAGAAGTTATAATTTCACACGTGATCACTGGAACACCACAAAGCGTTACCACAGGCAACAAAACTCAAAATCCCTCAGAAACTCAGGGAACAAGCTGATGCTTTCCACAGCACAGTTTATCCTACAGTACAAAACTGTGCCTGGATGTCGTATTTTAAGAGCTGCAGAAAGGGACAGAGATGGAAAGTGAGGTAATGGCATGGATTTTCTCCGGGTATTTTAATCAGTTTTTTGAAAGCAACTCATCTGCGAGACAGCACCACAACACACAGAAGAGTTCCTAAGGCCAGAGGCTCTGACAAAGCCCAGCTGTCAGAGCACATCTCACCGCGGGGCTGCTGCACCCACGCTTAGGAAAAAAATTCATGTAAGAACTCCCGGAGAAACGACCCCAGCTCAGACAAGCGCTGCCGGGTCTCTCACAGGCTGCCCGGGGCACCCGAGGGTATGGGGGCACTGAGCACACACCGCCACATCGCAGAGCCCCCGAGGGGCCCTGGCACGGCCCCAGGGCCCGGGAGAGGAGGGGCAGGGGATGGAAGGGGACACCGCCCGCCCACAGCGCCCCACGCCGCGCAGGCCGCGGCCCCGGGGCTCGCAGGGACCCCCGCCCAGGCCCGGCCCGGCCCGAGGCGCTGCCGGCAGGACACGGGCACGGCCCGGAGCCCCCTCCTCCCCGGCCCCACCGCCCCGCGTTCACCCAGCGCTGAGCTGAGCCGGCCCGGGAGCGGCCCGGCAGCGACACCGACACACACCGGCACGGCAAGCACGGACACACCGACACACAGAGCCAGAGCCACAGCCGGCACTCACGGCACCCACCGACAGACAGACAGACAGACAGAGAGCCAGAGCCGGCACTCACGGCACCCACCGACAGACAGACCGACAGACAGAGAGCCAGAGCAGGCAGTCACCGACAGACAGACAGACAGGCAGATACACAGCCGGCACTCACCGACAGACAGACAGACAGACAGACAGCCAGAGCAGGCAGTCACCGACAGACGGACAGACAGACAGACACACGGCCGGCACTCACCGACAGACGGACAGACAGACAGACACACGGCCGGCACTCACCGAGCCTCACCCGCGGCTGTGCCCGCCCCGCCCCCGCCGCTCCTTCCGGCACCGGCGCCCGCGGCGCGCGCACTCGGCTGCGCTCGGCTCGGCCGCGTTCGGCTGCGTTCGGATGAGTTCGGCTGTGTCCGGATAGGTTCGGCTGAGCTCGGATCAGTTCGGCTGCGTTCGGAGAGAGTCGCCTGGGCTCGGCTCGGCCCGGCCCCGCCCCCCGGCCCCGGCCCCGCCCCCGCGGCCCCGCAGCGTCGCTCCCGGAAGTGCCACGTGTCGGCAGTGCGGCTGCGCGCGCGGCGGTTCCGGTGCTGAGCCCCGCCCGGAGCGGGAGCGGGAGCGGCGGCCGAGCCATGGCCCAGCCCGGGGCACCCGCCGGGGCTCCCACCCGGGCACCCAGCGGGGCACCCACCGGCCCGCAGCGGCCCTGCACCAACGGTGAGCGCGGGGCAGCCGCGGGGGCGGCTCCGGGCTCGTCCCGCTGCCGCCGCGGGCAGGGCGCGGGGAGGGGGTTCCGGGGCGGTCCGCTCGCTGCGGGACACCCGGCCGGGCTCGGCGGGGCCGAGGGGAGCGCGGTGGGACGGGGCAGGGCCGCGGGGGAGCGGTGTGAGCCGGGAGCGGGCCCGCCCGCGGTGCCGCCGAGGCCAACGCAGAGCGGCTCAGCGGGCACCGGCACCCTCCGTTCTCATCTCCGCTCCTGCCCAGCGCCCCGCCAGGGCCGGTGTCGCCCGGAGGTCCCCGTGGTGACAGCCCGGGGGTTGCCCCTTTGAACTGAAGGGCCCGGTGACTTTCCTCCTGGCGACAATTAGGATAACTTAAAATTAGGTACTAAAGGTGAAACCGAGCAACTTCTAGCCGGTGTTTTAAGTTAGGAATAAAGACATGCGAGGGCAGCCTTCTCTCTGCATCTGTTCTCCTTGTATGTGTGCAAATCTGTGCTGCTGTGTCTCCTGATTTCACACACACACACCCCCCACATCCTCTGCTCTTGCTTCCCTAATTATCCACTTGTGTCTCAGCAGCTCTGCTGCATCCTAAGCAGCTCAGTTATAAGGAGATCTTTGATTTTTCTTCCCCCCCCTCCTCCTTCCCAGCACGTTTATTGTTTTTCCTCGAAGTCGTCAGCAAAATGACGTTTCAGAGATAACTGTGGAGTCGCCTCTGGGGTCAGGGCAGTGGGAGCTGCGAGAGCAGTGTGGGGAGGGAGGCAGAGCCTGCACAAAGGGAGCCTCAGCTGATGGAGTGACTGAGTGGGATGATTTACAGGCTGGCAGGGCTCTAAGTTTGCTGATTTCCCTGGTGTCAGATTAAGCACATAATGGAAGTTCTGGAGAGGCAGTCGGAGGAAGAGGAATTTCAGGCTGCTCAGCTGTCAGGTGTATGAAAAACAAGGAACTGAAATGCAGAGCTATGCAAATGCCAGCTGAAAAAGTCAAAGAGTTGTTTAGGGTATGTTAGAGGTGAGGTTTGGGTTGCTGGCCTTTCAGATCAATGTGATTGCTCAAGCAGGGACTGCTCTTAGCACTGTTTAAAATTCATGTTGAGGAGGTGCAGCGATCCTTGACCTTTGACAGCTTCATAAAACATTGTGGAGAGTGCTGTGGTGGGGCTGGTGTGTGAGGAAAGAAGGCTGTCAGCAGAACGAGGGGTTGTTCTGTGGCTGTCAGCCCCTCCTCTCAGCTTGTTGCCTGCTGAGCTGTTTGCAGGTGACTCCCTGCCCGTCCACCAAGGCGGTGAATTGTCAGAGCAGCACCATGTGCTGACCAGGAGATTGCTGAGCTGGAGCATCGGGTTGCTTGGCAACAACCTTCCCCTCCTTCATTCATGTTTGGCTTCTAACAGGGCCAGGATCCTGCTCTCCTTTCACTGCAGGTTTCCAGCTTGCTTTCCAGTTGATAGATCTGAAGTGCAAACAAGAAGGAGGAACAATTCTTTTCGAACTGCTTTGCTATTTTGATGTGGTATCTTAATGTGGCACTTTAGGAGGTGCTTCAGAAGGATTGGAGTCACTGGTGGTGACTGATCCCATGGCAATCTGTTGGGATGTAACTTTCCAGAGTGTTTATCCTTGCATCTCCCTGGAGGTTGGAGAGCTTGTGGCTGGTGAAAGTGAGGTGCTGAAGGACTGGTCAGTTGTGGATATCACCTCACTTCTATTGTATCCTCAAGCAGGAAAACAGTGCAAAAGAGAGCAATCCAAGTACTCTTGATTCCTGTCTGGGCTACAGAGTCGTGCCTGAAGGTGAATAATCAAGTTAGGAAATTAATCAGTGTTTGTTCTGTGTTTTTCTCACAGCTTATGGCAGTGTTGTTGTGTCAGTATGTGTGTGTGTGGATGCAGGCAGAAGGTCTGGGGTCACATAAGAATTCCCCATCATCTTTAAAGTTACCAAGTTTCATTGACAGCGGGGTTTGTAAATCGATTGTTGCAAACCCACCTGATACACTGCAGGGTAGTTTTTGGAGGTGAGTCATAACAGCATTTACATCTTTGTGAGCCACCATTGATTGTAGAGAATTACTGATGGCAGAGATTTATGAGCAGCATTGTAAGGACAGTGGGTTATAACTGCATTTCCTAACTGAATCATAAATTGCGTGTTGAAATTAATGGGTGGGGAATGGACGGGGTGTACTTTTGATGCACAAATAACAGAGGAGTGAGGATGAGATCACTGGCACTGTGCCAGCGGATCTGTGCAATATTCCCTGAATTAACACCTGTCTGTGACCCAGAGCCTGAGGTTTCCTAGGGATTGAGGAGCAGAATGACCAGTGCAGTGTTTATCCTGAGAATTTCAGTGTATTCTGCATTAATTTATTGTTAGAGTAGCCTGAGTTCAAAGTTGTTTTCACGTGGAAATGTGAACTTTCTCACCTTTCAGAACTTAACTAGAATGTTTCAGTAGGAAACCAGCTGTCTGGTTTAATGTTAAATGGAATTCTGTGACTTGGTTCTGGTGGCAGCTGTTTCCAGTACTCATATGATAGAGATATATATCTATATATCTATATCCACTGTCCCAGCTAATATCTCTGGCAGGATTTTTTTAAATTTAAGTGTTGAATCCTGCAGGCATTTCTGGTCTAGAGAGTTAAATGCTTTTGTTCATCTAGGTTCAAAAAAAACTGTTCAAATGGTAACTAAATCTGGAAATCTGGGAAACAGTACAGGGTGGCAAAGAAAAGAACCTTAACTCTGAGCCATAAAGAGGTTCTTTTCTGCTCTCACATGTGTAACTGTGCGTGTGGAATGTCTCCAATATTCAAACTGTGTGTTTAGAGGACAAGGAGAGCCACAATGTGACTGGCTGAACAAAATGATACAACACTGGGAAGTGTTTTGGTGATTTTGAAGGGGTCGTGGCTGGCTGGGCCTGCAGTATCTGGTGCACTGTGCTCAGAAGGATTTCACTGGTGAATTTAGAGTCTCTCTTCAGGATGTCTGTTTTGTGGCAATGGCATGGACAACCTGTAGTAGTACTTTTCTTGATGGAGCTCTTATGGCAGTGGAAATCTCATGGGATTCTGTATCCCTGTGTTCCCCTGTAAAGCAGAAATCTGATGATGCCCTTGCTGGTGTCGGTTACTCTTTGGGGAGTTATTAACCTTCTTTTTTCTAAATGAGTAAAACTCAGTTCAGCTATACCAACCCACAGGTGCATAAAGAGCATCCTTAAACCTATCAAGTTTTATTTTCCTGACTGGTGAATGATTTTCTGATAAACTTACCCTTCATTCCATGTTGGGGACAGTTGGCCGCTCACATGAGCGGTATGTGTGTGAATAGCTCTCTTACTAAAATTAACTGCAGAAACTTTCATACATTGTCACTTGAGAAGCAGCGTGGTGACCTATGCTGGAGCTGGCTGGTGGTGTCTTTGTGGTAAGCTAAAGTTTAAGTAGGTGTCAGTCATCATGTGAAATGGAGTTATTACGCAACGGATCTTCCGCTTTCGGTCTGCTGATGTGCTGCTGCCAGCTGTGTGAGAGTGCTCCTCGGTGCTCAGCTTGCTTGTGGGTGTTTCTGAAGATTGAAGTGGTACCCTGTGTGAATTTCAGTCCAGGAGCATGGATGGTACTAGAATGCTTAGTGGTTGCAAGGCTACTGTAAAACAAAGCAAAGATCTAAGTGTCTGTAGCAAAATAACTGCCAAATTCATGGCCCCAGTAGCAATACTTTTGTCACACTTGGTTGTTTAAAGGAAAAATGGCCTGGAGACTCATAAAATCCTAAGGAGAACATCTCTTATTTGCAGAAGTGACACACCACACTGACTTCCTAAAGAGTGTAGTTTTCTTTCTTGCAGGCCCCGTGCAGAACCCGCTGATGCATCCACCTGATGGCCAGGGATACAACCCCGCGGCTCCGGGACCGTACACCCTCCAGGCGCCGGCCAAGGCTCCTCCACATCAGCCTCCTGGACAGTATAACTATAGTGGCTCTCAGAATGTTTCTCAATTAAACAATTATCAAGGACCTGGCCAGACTCTGAACAGACCCCCAGTGTCAGCGTTCTCCGGGTCACCAGCACCACAGACAGGTCCCGCTCCGCAAGTGCTGCCGCCGCCCGCGTTACAGAACTCAGCTGCTCTATCTTCTGCTGGAAGCTTTCCCCCTGGAGCCAGCCCACCGGTGCTTTCAAACTGGCAGTACAGCCAGCCTCCTGTGAGTCAGCCCCTTGGGGCTCAGACAAGCCATTTGGCTCATGGGACAGGGACAGGGCCAGCTCAGCCACCGTCGTCGTTGTCGGGAACTCCAAGTCCCGCAGGGAGTTACCCATATGCTGCTTCTCCGGGAGGTGCCCAGCTTCAGAACAGCTACATGAAGCCAGGTAACCATCACCTCTGGATGTCTTACCAGTGTGCATTTCTCAGTGTCCTTTTGAAACAAAGAGGATAGAATTGACTCTGCAGTGGCACTTAGCTCGTGGAACAAGACTCAAAGCAGATGCGCCCATCGGAAATACCGGGGTGCTTTCTGTGGGGTAGAAATGGAGGTTCTGGGCACAGGTTGGGTGTTTCAGGTGGCTGGAGCAGGTAATTCCTGGATGGTGTCTCACTGTTTTGGGACACTGTGTTTCTGTGACCTTCACCATTCCTTGGGGTGGCTCTTGGAGCATTAACATGTTTCAGTCCAGGACTTCGCAATTAAAAACTGTAGTTCAGTTTAGTGAGCATGGACTTCTTTTAGCATGGTTAGCTTTTCTGTAATCACTTGTTTCAGGTTGTTCTCTGAGCAGCCCAAGTCAGGCTGATGCAAAAAACTGGAGCATAGCCTGGAAAGAAAACTGAAAAGCATTCTGTGCTGTTGAAATGAAAAGTTCAGTGAAAAGCTTCCTCCCTCCAAACTTGCAGTTTTCCCATTTAATGATAATTGTCAGTCTTTAGACAGGTACTCTAAAAAGTATGAGACTGTTCCTACTGCTTGACTGCTGGTATATGCAGTGGTAAAAGCTTTTCTAACACTAAATAGCTCTATTATGCAACTTGTGATTATTGTGGAAACACGGTTAACACTCAGGTTTCTCTTTGCCAAACTGCTGTCTGTTGTTACAGAGGTTTTTCTGACTGAGCGTGCAAACAGGAATTAAGCACAGAAATAATTTTTCTTGTGAAGTGCTTTCAGCACTTAGAGACTTTTCTTAATGCTAGTTTTTTTGTTATATGCCTGACTAATTTTGTTATGCTGTTCAGAATGTCTTAAGCTCACAAAATTTATGAAACTGTTTCTGGCACTGAATTGGAATAACCAGTTTGTATTTTGTAGTTAGTGAGGAAAATGCTGGGAGATTTTGGCAAGTGGCAATATGAAATGCGAGCAAGTGTTTGGAATAAGCCAATTTTTATATCCTTTCAATGGTGAATCCTCCTGAGTGATTTCCCTGGTATTTTTTTTTAGAACAACGATCATTTTTAATTTAGCTCATTTGGAGATCACTCCAGACTCGGTGAAGAACTTTGGATGCTTTCTGTACCTCTTGAAAGTCTTGCCAACAATAGCAACAAAAAGCTGACAGATCAACAGCCACAGGAACCCAGCATGAGAAAAGCATGACAGAAACCACCTGAAATTGTGAGACCCTCTGCACACCTTAGGGTTTATGTCTCTCATGCTGTTTACCCTCTGAATAAGAGGAACATTTGGAGCTCAGGCCATGTGTTTTCCTAACAAAACGTAGGTGACTTTTCAGCTGGGTTAAACCCTTCCTAAAGGTTCATTTCTTTCCAGGATCTGCCCCTCCACCAGTGACTCAGCCTTTAACTCCACTCCACCCTCCAAGGCCACCTTTAGGACCCCCACCAGTTGGAGGTCCACCAAGGCCACCAACAGCAGTAGCAGGACCCCCTAATGCACAGTCTGTGCTAAATTCAGCTGCAAATAGAGAAGGTAAGAAATCATTTGCTCTTTATGTTGAATTCCAACATGGCAACTTGCTGTAATAGGCACCCTTTGAGGTCAAGCACATTGTTCTATTAGAGACTCAAATTGTAAGATTGGTACTAATGGAGCTAATAATTTAATCTGAAAGGAGCAGGTAAGGACCTGGCAGGAAGTAAAATACTTCCTGTAGACAGATGTTAATAAAATATAAAGAACTAACTAATTTCCATGTGCTGTTTAACATGGCCATGTCTCCCATGGTTGGTATTGTGTTTTTTCATTGTTGTGTTCTAAAATGGTAGTGAAATTCTGATTTCTCTGCACCCCTGACTGCTGTGGGGACCAAGCCTCTGCATAACTTCCCATATTGTTTTTTCTGCAGGGAGAGCTAAAATGGGCACCCTGCAATCCCTTGGTGGTTGTACCTTATTCTTCCCCTCTGTGTAAAATTCCTGAACACACAGCCTGGATTTGTTCATTTTCTGCAGGAACTTCCTGCAGGCTGTTAAGTGTCAGCTGTTGATGACAGATACCTGACTTTGTGTGTCTCCTGTGGGCCCTGCACAAACATGCCATTGTTTGGGAACTCCTCAGGGCTCTGCAGCAGACAGATTGCAGCTGGATGGTATTTAGTGCCTGTTGTAGATAGGGCCACGTGCTAGTCAGCAGCTTGATTTTTGCATATATAGTTTGTTCTGTCAGAGCTGTTGCATGTTCAGATTGACAGTTCTTGTGTGTGGTAGCTGTGTGAGCACAAGAATAGTAGATTCAGATTTGACTTAATTCAGAATGTATTCAGTGCATTAGGAACAGCTTTTGCTTGGAAAATATTTTCTTCATAATTAAGAAACATTTTCATAGCCCTGGAGAAATGAAAATGTTTAGTCTAGGAAGCAGGTTGACTGCTGCATTCTTGCAAGACTCAGTGTCTGATGTGAGTTCTTTTTCTGGGTCATCTTTGAAGATTTTAATGATAATAAAAATAATTAGAGAACCTACTTCTCCTTAGTGATAGATAATTGTATATTTAGACATAGCTTACCAAAAACTGTCCTTTGGGAGCACTCTCTGAATTTCAAGGTTTCTTTATCTCAGATGGAATTTCTGTCTTGACTGGTATGTGACCATATCAGAACTGTTGTTTTTTGGTGACCAATACTGGACCAAGGGTGCCAGAGAAGGGAATTTGGTGTCTCTGTGAATTATCAGTGGAAAGAGTTTGTCAGGGAAGTAGGTCCAAATTATGCTCACCTAAATATCCATCCAGCAAGTAGGATTTTTTTTTGCAGTTGGCTCATTAAAATATCTTCATAACTTGTGAATTTTTTTTTCCTGATTGTTTTCCTTAAAAGGTGATGCTGCATCTGCTGCCAGTGATGGGTCTGTGGTGCAAAACAGCTACGATGCAATAGAAGGTGGTGGCCTCATGGGTAAGGCCTGGGGAGTGAAAGTGGTTGTTATTATCATGTAAACTTCTAAGAGTCTGGGAAAGACAGAAGTTTAAGCATTTCTGCACAAGCACATGTGCTTGGTTCAGTGCCTGTGCTGAGGCTGAATAGGAGGTCTGAAGCACTGACAATTAGCATGTCTTTGCCTGTAACAGGCAAAGCAGGTGAGAGCACTTTGCAAACTTGACAGCAGTTGTAGTATTTACAGCTAGAAATTAAAGCAGCTCTCCAGCTGTACTGATGCCCTAAGATCCTCAGCAATGAAATCTTTGTCTGCTCTGCTTGCAGCAACTCCTCATCATTCTCCTGCTGCCCTGAATCTTAAGATGAACAGAAGTGTTGGGTATTCTTACCCTGCCTTACCCCCAGGCTACCAACATCCTTCTCCTCCTGGAGCACCAGGAATGCATGGAGCTGCTTTGCAATATCCAGATGGATCAAAACATTTCCACCAGGTAAAGACTGGCTGGTTTTTATCTCAGAGCTACCTGTGAGGGGTGTGTGGGTAAAGAAAAGTGAGGATTGAAACACAGCAGAGGGAAAAATTTGTTACATGCCCGAGTCCAAGTTTGTGTAACAAACATATCAATCCAGTGGCAGTTAATACATGAACAAATCAAACTGGAAGGAAAATGTGTTTACTTTTGAAATGAACTGTGGGTTTCAGCCAAATAATTGGTGTTAATTTCTGAATTTTAATTTGGCTCTAGCCTGCCCTGGGCACTAATCACTTAACTGCATCGATGGGTGGCCTGAGTCTACAGCAAGAAGGGTTAAGACCTGTGAATCTGCTTCAAGAAAGAAATATCCTTCCTACCACCCTCTTGAAGGCTCCTGTCCCAAACTTGCACGAAGACATCCAGAAGCTCAACTGCAATCCTGAGTAAGATCATCTGTTTGCTATAATTCATCAAAATAAAGAGAAGTATAAATTTCTGCTTATAAATGTAACTTTACAAACTATTTCCTTAACTCTGTGAGTAGGAAACACTGAAATTTGGCTTCATTGTGTTAAGATAAAGGCAGCAAGTGGGTTTAACTTTGAAGTTGGGAAAATGATCTGTGTAGAAAGTAGGAGGAAAAATATGTTGCTTGCAAGGCAGCTGTAGATAGGTGGAGTACAAAAACTTTATAGCTGGCAGTATGATTAAGATATAAAATAGGAATGAAGTCATTCAAGTGAGGTACCCCAAGAACACTGTGAATGGTGACCTCTGTATTGAAAATAACCTCTTAAAACAACAGAATAAATGCAATGTCAGACAGGAGGCTGCCAGCTGGTTATTGAAGTCATCTCTCTGAGGAGACCAACCAAACTGTGTAGCCAGGGACTCCTGCTTTGCAAATCTTTGGATGACAGAGGCAGTAACAGTGCCTTTGGGATGCTGTTCATGCAAACAGGCTGCACTGGATTTGCAAACCTGCCATGCCCATCTGCATTTTGCAGAAACCCCTGAATGCTGAGCCCTCAGAAAATGACTCTGGGGTTGTTTATAGTTACTAAGTTTTAAAACCACTTTTAAAACTTTACTAGTTTTGATTTGTTCCAAAATAACACTTTATTTATAAAGATTTGGTGCAACTCAGAACATTGTTTGGCTTAACTTTGACTTGAGTGACTAAAATGACACTCAACTGTGTAAAAAACATTTGCATAAAATAAAATAAGAACTCAAAGTATGTATTGTTGATCAAGCTCAGAGAAACAAAATGATGTGACAGAGATGGAGAAGATCCTTTATCTGGAAATGGAAATTCACCATCACCACCTCTAGAAAAATATACTACTGAATATAAACTACTGAAATCATAATTTATTTCCTGAAAGCCTCTGAAAATAACCCTTTGTCCTCCATGTAGGTTGTTCCGCTGTACCCTGACTAACATTCCTCAAACTCAGGCCTTATTGAATAAAGCCAAACTTCCTTTGGGGCTGCTGCTTCATCCTTTCAAAGACTTATCGGTATGACAAATATTCCAAACTTTAACTGCTGAAATGTCAACTGTGCCTTTGCCAGAGTCCAGAGCTGGACAGTGAATTATAAAACAAGGGCAGGTGTCTTGGCCCAAAAACATTACTGTGGTAATTGACATTTCCCTGTTCCACTCAGATCACTGTAATTTTTCTAAATTATTTCTCCCTACCATTTTTAAACCTTCAAGTCTCACTCCTTAATGAAAAAAACCCAACTCCCAAACCTTAAAAAAACCAAAAGTGTAGAGACAGCACAGCCCTGGAGCTGTGACAGGAGACAACACATCTGCCAGTTTATCTTGTCACGTATCAGTTGTAGTTATTGAATTCCTGTACCAAACCTAGCACTAATTTTAAACTCAATTGAGAGTTGACAAAGTTGGAGGGGTTTGGATGTCCTCGGATAGACAGAAGACTTTGAATTTAACAGTGCCTCTTTTAAACACTGGGTTTGGTTGTTTTTTTCACAATTCAATTAATTGGCTTTTTCTCCCCTGAGTTTTGATCTCTAGTGGCTGTAGGATTTGGTCTTAAACCATCATAAAATTCAAGATTTTAGAGGCTTGGAAAGGGAACCTACCCAGTCAAATCTGATAGAGCTCAGTTCCTACCTGTTACATTAAGGAGCTGTAGGGATGCTGTGAGGATGCACAAGAGTGCTCTGAGCAGCTAGCCAGGAAGCAGAGTGTTGCTGTAGGGGAACAGCTGCAGTGTGGTGATGCCTTAAAACAGGAGGCTTCTCTCTTCCAGCAATTGCCAGTGGTCACCTCCAGTATTATTGTGAGATGCCGTTCCTGCCGGACCTACATCAACCCTTTTGTCAGCTTTCTAGACCAAAGGAGGTGGAAATGCAATTTGTGCTACAGAGTGAATGATGGTAGGTTTGAAATGTGCTTATTGCTTTAAAGGGTTACAGTTCACCTGTCCCACCTTGGGCCTCTGAGTTTGTAACGTTGATGGCCAAACCAGCGCTGGGGTTGTTGGGAGTCCTGCTGGGGCTGGGAGTCAGAAGTGTTTCCCAGTGGCAGTGGTGTCACTAGAGAAGCACAGGAAGCCCAAGTGGTCCCCCAGGGTACCCTTTCAGGTGACAAAATAGCTACCCTGCCTCGTGTAGTTCTCCAAGAAGTGTTACCCAACAGTTACAAAAGATATATTTGCTTTAAAATGCAGCACAGCCAGTACTAGTGTGAAATACTAACATATAAACTTAACCTGCATAGTTCCTGAAGAATTCCTGTATAATCCTGTGACAAGAGTTTATGGAGAACCTCATAAAAGACCTGAAGTCCAGAATGCTACTATTGAGTTTATGGCTCCATCTGAATACATGGTAAGGCTTTATTTACTTTTAGTTATTCTCTCCCTTTGCTTCAGAAGGAAGTTAGAAAAAATTTTGTTACAGAGGATGCTTTCCAGCTCAGTAGAACAGTTTTTGCTTCAAGTAGTGCATTAGAGGACTCTTGGGGAGAACTTCAGATGGTTCACTTCTAAACATTTACAATGTCAGAGTTGTTCTGTATTTAAATATGTAGGTATCTGTAGGTCTTCTGGAAGAAAACTAGACTTCTGGTGTTACCAAATGAGAGGCAGATGGCATTCAGAAGTTGTAGATGTCATCTGTGTGCTGTTTTAAGAGTTTGAACTTGCAGTGGAATGAACAAACCTAATGGGACAAGTGTTATTTGAAAATGAAAGGTAATCTTTTCCTTGCCCAGCTGCGTCCACCTCAGCCCCCCGTGTACCTCTTTGTGTTTGATGTCTCTCACAATGCAATCGAGACAGGATACTTGAACACAGTCTGCCAGACCCTCTTAGACAATCTTGACTTGTAAGTACTTTTTTTTTTTCTTAAAATCTCCTATTTTCATTCCTCTTAAGAAATTTGTAATGGACACCAACGTGCCAGTCCTTCCTGCCTAGAAGAGAAATACCCTGGTGTTGGCCAGTGTTGAGTTAAAATGTACCATAAAGCTGCAGTCCTTTTTCCCATCACAGCTGCACCAGTATAAAAGATATATAAGATATAAAAGTATAAATTCTGAGGCTTGTTTTTCAGTCTGACTCTCCTATCTGCTTCACCAATCCCCAAAAGAATATAAACATCATGTTTAGGATATCTTTTGAACTGTATTTTTAAAAGCTGAAATTTAGATAAACATTTGCTGAAAGAAGTTATACAGCTAATAAACTTTTCATAAAGTACATGCTCTTTGAACTTACAGAGATGCTGCTTGGTATTTGGCAGTTTATTTCTCCCTTTTCCATTTCTGATTACCCTCTGCAGGTTTCTGTCTGTCTGTAGGTGACTCTACTATGAGCTACTTTTTTGTTGTTTGGGGTTTTTTTTAATCTCCACAATGATTTAGTCAAGCTCTTGCAGTGTAGCTGCGAAGCTACTTTGTAATAACCATGGAGAGATGCAGTGGATGTTTTAAAAAAACCACCAAACTGCCTGCAGAAATGAAATTTCATCTTGTTGAACACCATATGTCTCATTTTCAGGCTTCCTGGGAACACTAGAACAAAAATAGGCTTCATAACATTTGACAGCACAATCCATTTCTACAGCCTTCAGGAAGGTCTCTCTCAGCCTCAGATGCTTATAGTTTCAGATATTGAAGGTATGCAGAAATAAATTCTGTGATTAGCACCTACTAATGAGTGCCTGTTATGGCAGCCTTTAGAAACACATGTTTCTGGTGGGAGTTTGTGGGTCAGATCATTAATCTCTGGTAATGCCTGGAGGAGTAGCACACGTGTGTGTGTGTTTGGTTACAGAGTCATCTCCCTGATGTCTCCCTGAGCACTGCTGGGGCTGCTCATGACTTAAAACATGCGGACAGCCTTCCTACCTCCTAGTTTAATTTGGACAATTACCTGGGTTCCTCCTGAGGTCCCAAATACTGATGCTGGGTCCATTTCTGTAGGTTTGGTGACTGGTGCTTAGTGCTTGTCCTGCTGCCTTTCATTTCCAGTCACCTTTGGCTGCACGTGTGGGGCAGGTTGGAATGAACACTGGGAATATTTGCTGTGTGGTTTTACTTAACAGCCTTGATTATCCTTCAGCCCTGTCCATTGGTACTCTGACATGGCATTCTAGCCACAGGAATGCTTATGGGAAAAATTCACAGTTATATTTTCATGGGTTTATAAACTGACAGTGCTTTTTTCAATGGTTGGCAAATACAGTCAGGGAAGTGTTCTTTGAAGATAACTGAAATACCTTTTTTTTCCCTTCCAGATGTATTTATACCAATGCCAGAAAACTTATTAGTAAATTTAAATGAAAATAAAGAGGTAAGAGCTAAGAACTATCTTAAATAACTGGTGACATTCACATAGTTTGGGACATGTTTGGTAATTTTGGATTACTCAATGCCCCTGAACACCAACTGTTCACATGCCAGGTTTGAGGGAGAAAAGAGAGGTTTTGTCTATGTGACTCTGTAAACTTTAAACAAGGCAGTACTTCAGTTTCCTAGGACTTTTTTTCTTTACTACCTTAACATTAGAAGTGTTAATACACAATTACATAGTTCCATCAGCTCCAGAAAGAAGAAACCTCTGAAGACTCCGAGACTTAATCCTCGTGTTTCCTCACTTGTAGCTAATCCAAGATCTGTTGAAGACCTTGCCACAGATGTTTACCAAGTCCCTGGAAACTCAGAGTGCTCTGGGGCCTGCATTACAGGCTGCCTTTAAACTGATGTCCCCCACTGGAGGTAGAATCACTGTCTTCCAGACGCAGCTTCCCACCGTGGGAATGGGAGCACTGAAGCCACGAGAAGAGCCAAACCAAAGAGCAACTGCCAAGGTTAGGAAAGCAAAAAAAAAAAAAAGTGGAGGGAAGTGGCAGCCCTGTTCTGTGCATGTAGGTGGTTCTGGGATTGCCTGTTCTGGGTTCATTTTGTGGTTTCCTTGGTAGAAAAAAAACAAAACAAAAAAGCCAACCAGGCAATATAAACACAGATTAATTACTGATTTTTTTTTTTTAAGAGATACCTCTGTAATCAGTGGTGGAGAAGCAGTTATTTGTGCCCCTGAAAACAGGCTTGAATTTCCTTTGCATGTTGTAATTCTGCCCTGTGTTAACAGGACATACACCTGACACCATCGACTGATTTTTACAAGAAGTTAGCCTTGGACTGCTCAGGGCAACAGGTTGCAGTGGATTTATTTCTTCTTAGTGGGCAGTATTCTGACTTGGCTTCTCTAGGTGAGTCCTGTAAAGCTGTTGAGGGGGGTGTAACTCTTGCACTTTTGGCAAAGGCACAGAATCTACATTAATGTGTAGTGTGTGAACCTGATTTGAACTAATCCAGTGTGTCAGGATGCAAATTCATCCTTGCTGAGCAGTGACAGTGAACAGAATGTTATTTAGTTAGAATAGAAGTTACTTTCCTATCCTCCCTCAGTGAGTCAGGATTTCTGTGATACCAGTGTAAGTGGCTGAAATATTTTCCTCCTTTTTATGCCTTTTAACCATCAGTGTAATTGTCTTTGAAGTAAGTTTTATTAGCATTTTAATTATATTCTCCTCCATTTAACTAAACTTTCAAGTGACCAAGTACCTGCAATTTCAGGTCAATGGAAAATTATTTCACACCTGAAAGTACACACATACTTAAAGATATAGTTGTGTTACATCTGTGTCTGTGGTATATTTAAAGGCTGCAGCAACTGTCTGCACTCTCCAATGTGTGCTGGTTTTGTTTCAGGTTGTATATCAAGGTATTCTGCAGGTAGTGTCTACTACTACCAGTCTTACCATCATAAACACAACCCTGTCCAGGTGGAGAAATTGCAAAAGGAGCTGAAACGATACCTAACTAGAAAAATTGGGTTTGAGGCTGTCATGAGGATAAGATGCACCAAAGGTTTGAACTCACTTCCTTAGATTTTTGGGGGGTGGAGTGGAGAGGGAGTGGGTGCTTGCTGTTATTTGGGAATGTTTTGAATGGTATTTTAGCTGTTTTGTAACCTTAAATGCTCAAAAAGGTAGAGATGAGAAAAGTAAAATTCAATACTAGGGACCAGACAATTTATTAAGGACTGTATTTGCAGTATATTTTCTAACATCTATGTTCCATTTTACAGTAGTTAAAACTGGAAATTTTGTTGGACTGCTATTTCAGCAAGGGACTCTTTATAATCTAGAGACTTTCGACTGTTGTGCATTGATTTGCCTTGCTAATTCCTGCTTTCTGTTGGGCTTTGTGGATTCTTTGGATTACTCCTCTGTTTGGGATATTTACCTTTTCTGCAGATAGTGTATTTTGTGGAGAGGGAACACAGAGCCATCTACACTGGTGGCACGTGTATTTCACAGCTCTGAAACCCAACCTGACTCAATTCCTGCTTACCTTGCAGGGCTTTCCATCCATACTTTCCATGGGAACTTCTTTGTAAGATCCACAGACTTGCTGTCGTTGCCCAACGTGAACCCCGACGCGGGATACGCCGTGCAGATGTCCGTGGAAGAGAGTCTGACTGATATGCAAGTTGTTTCTTTCCAGTCAGCTCTCCTGTACACGTCCAGCAAGGGTAAGATGTGCAGGTGGTGTCACCTGCAGTGCTCACGTGAGTCTGTGTGTCCATTTATCAGCTGCAGTAACTTACTCAAACTGCTCAATTTAATATCAGGATCACAGCTTGGGCGTGTCATTGATATTGTTGCTTCTTCCAGACCACGAAGTTTCTTGGGAAATGTAGTTTTGGTCTGAAAATAAGTAGACTTAACCCAGAAACTGAGAACTAATCATTATTAAAAGCTACTGGAAATGGCCTGATTCACCATTTGTATGATGAATTAGGTTGAGCAAACAGTGGCATTTCAGTGTTTCATAAAAGAAGGATGTTGGGAGACACCAGTTTTCCTTCCCTGCAGGTGAAAGGCGAATTCGTGTGCACACCATGTGCTTACCTGTGGTGACAACGCTGAGTGATGTGTACCTGGGGGCAGATGTGCAGGCCATCACCGGGCTCCTGGCCAACATGGGTGAGTGTGCTCGGAGCCTGTGTGGATGTGCACGGATCCCATCCTTAAAGCTCTGTGCAATATTCCTCTAGGAGAAGAAAAAACCCCAAAAATCTGTTAGAGGAAAAGATTCCCTCTTTCTAAGAGTGCTTTCTAAGTAGAAACCCTAAGAGTTTTGTTTTTAGTGCTTAGCTTAAGCATCAGTAGAGCTGTGTGTGGTCACCTGGGCTTAGGCTGAGTCTGGTGCATCATCACAGAGGATGCAAAGGTTCCGGCTTTGTTTCGGAACCGCTTCCTCTGGAATGCAGTCAAAGCATACGGTCAAATGGGAAGAGTCACTGTACGTGAGTGTATTCCTGCCAGGGGAAAGCAAAGGCTCTGACCTGAGCTGTGTGCTGTGTTTCAGCTGTGGACAGGTCGGTGTCTGCCACGCTGAGTGACGCCCGGGACGCGCTGGTGAACGCAGTGATAGATTCCCTGTCCGCTTATCGCTCGTCCGTGCTGAGCATCCAACAGCCCGGGCTCACCGCGCCCCACACGCTGCGGCTCTTCCCGCTCTACATCCTGGCACTCCTGAAACAGGTGAGAGGATGATTGCTTGCAACAGGTTTAAAGTATTTAACAATATTTTCTTAATGTGTTTTTAATTGAATTTCTGTGAACTCGTACGAGAAGTAATTTTAAGTGTTGGACAAACTGGCTTTCTCTTTTAGAGAGAACTTTTGGATTCATACCTCTTGATTCGGAATTAACCATCATTTTCACACTGAGCTTGTTCATTTAAGAGTCTTCATAAATATTTGACCAAACCAAGTGGGAGGAGTGAGCCCTTGCTCAATTTATAGCTGTTGTTTTGTCCCAACAAACCAGGACTATCTCTTTCTTGTAAATCCAGACCTAAGATTCTGAACGTTGGAGGCAATTGTAACCTGCTCCAATGTTTATTAAGTTCCATCAAGTAGCATTTTTAAGGCGTATGTTAGAGAGACATATTGCAGGATGATTTCACCTCAGCTGCATTGGATTGATGGTGCTGGGTCATGGTTAATTCTAGAATCCAGAAATGGGAATAAGGAGACTTGGATGATTTGTATGGGAAACATTGAAGAGAACATAAAATAGCAGCAGTAAAATACCATAAGAAAGTACTTGCTGCACATCTCTTAAGACTTAAGTTGGAAATAAGCAATAGATGGTGTGTGAAATTCAGCTTCTCTGGCTTTGCTTTAATGGTTAAAGTCAATGCCTGACTGTTTGCAGAAAGCATTTCAAACTGGGACGAACACACGCCTGGATGAGCGGATCTTCACCATGTGTCAAGTGAAAAACCAGCCCCTTGTTTACCTCATGCTCATGACACATCCCAGTCTGTACAGAGTGGATACTCTCACAGATGAGGTGAGTCTTGGCACTGCTGCATGATCTGTCTGTTTGATGGCAAAGGTTTGTATGATGTGCAAATAACTTTGTGTTAAAAAGCTCCCACGTTTCCCACGTTAAAGCTGCAGAGTTAAAATGTAACATTTCATATTCTCCCACTTGTTGCATTTCTGCATTTGTTGTTTGGGACTGGACTGATGAATTCTGGAGAGAAGCTGTGCTCTCTGGGCATGGATGGATTGGAAAGGTTTTTTATTCATTTATTTAACTTTTTGCCTTATGTCATTATCTTGCTCTATAAATCACATGTACATGAAGACATCATAACATGCTTTACCCTCTGAAGCTTCCTTTGTTTTAAAATGGCAAACACTTCTGTGAACAGTGAATGTTTATGTAAAACCCTGAATAATTTTAGAAATCACATCTTTTGTAGATAACAAATCTGATATTCCAGTTCTAGAACTAATTAACTAATATAAAGTTGATTAAATACCCCCTCTCTAAATAAAACAATGGGATTTATTAGTAAATTATGCACTTGAAGTATGACTTAAGTTAAACTGAGAAAAAGGGTCCAGCTTCAGTATTCAGTGTAATATTTATTGTTATTTAACCTTCTGTTCTGTTTTGTTGCTGATGTGAACTGCTGGTTTTCTTCTTGCTTCTTTTAGGGGGCTCTTAACATAAATGACAGAACTATACCTCAGCCACCCCTGCTCCAGCTGTCGGTGGAGAAGCTGAGCAGGGACGGTGCTTACCTTATGGATGCTGGCTCTGTAAGTTGGGTGGTGGTGGAGATTTAAAAAATTTCCTTTTTGAGGACTCAAGATGTGTAGGAGACTGCTGAGGTGTGTTTTGTGCTGGACTGACACTGCTGTTGATGGGTGTCTTTCAGGTGATGTTTCTGTGGGTCGGGAAGAACTGTGGGCAGGGTTTTCTCAGCCAAGTCCTCGGAGTTCCAAATTATGGCTCAATACCACAGAACATGGTACGTGCTTGCTTTGCTGAACACCAGCCTTACAGTGCTGCCAGAACATTTTCATGACAGCTAAAATGCCACTGCTCAAATATCAGCCCTCTAGTCGTATAAATCCAGATTCAAGGAAAGAAATAATTGCTGTTACCTCTTGGGGTTTCTCCAGGCTGAAATGTTATAGAATATATTCCCACGAAAACCCAGGAAGAAGAGGCTGACAGTGATTGAGTTTCTCAGAGCTGTGGGAGCAGACCAAGAACACTTGCAAATAGTGAGCACAGGGGGTTAGTGGGGTATCCTTTAGTGTCTGCAATAAACCAGGCATCAATCACAGCTCACTCATCATCGTTCTGATAGCTAATTGCTGATAGCAGTTTAGTGCTCTTCACTGTTTGAAGCCCTTTCAAAGAAGACAAGACTGAAACTATACATCACAAAACCTGCCTGGGTTTTCTTTATGCCCAGTTAGTTGGTGTATTCCAAGTGTTCATTCTACTGTTTTCCTGAAAAACATCCTGTTTGTATTAATGAAACCCTTTGCCTTTTAGACACATCTCCCAGAACTTGAAACCGCAGAATCCATCAGAACACGAGCTTTTGTTTCTTGGCTGAGAGAGCAGAGACCTTTCTTTCCTATATTATATGTAATAAAGTAAGTGGGTTTTAAGTCTTCTTTAGGAACCTGTTAACGATACATATTTGGATATCATGTCCTGAACTTCCTTAATGGAAGTCTTAATGATGGTGTGTGCTGTGCCTGACAGATTTGACAACAGATATGACTGGTTGTGAGTTGTCCTAAAGTAGAATTTCCACAGACTATAAAAGACTAAATATCACAGAACAATCTTTAGGTAATGTCATATGAATGAAGCAAATGCTGGTAAGTGCCCTTACTAGGATTAATCACTTTTAAGGGCTCTTTGAGATGCTCTTTTCATATGTCCTTAAGCTCTTGAAGTGTTTTGCCTGTAACTTTATTAATGTATGGCACTGTAGCTCTTGGCAAATGTTTACTTCACTCAAACACTTATATTTTCCATTTTTAAGGGATGAGAGTCCATTGAAATCAAGTTTTCTGCAAAATATGATTGAAGACAGAACAGAATCAGCCTTATCATACTATGAATTCCTCCTTCATATACAGCAGCAAGTGAATAAATGAAACACTAGCCTTTGGCTCACTTCTTTAAGGAGAGGTTTTGCAGTAAAGAATGATTGTGCTTGTAATATCTTCATTAATTCTGTGGCCTGAGGCAGTTGATGAGAAGTTCTCACTGTGATTTCAACGAACTAAAGCAAATAAAGGACCACATCTGAGAATCAAATGTGCAACTACATAATATTGTACCTTAAAAAAAAATCAAACTGTTGGAACTGGTTGAGCACCTTTAATTTGCTGCAAATCGTGTTTTTACTGTAAGTAGTTGCAGCATGAAGTACATTTACAAAGGCAATACTGAAAAGGTGAAATACATTTTGTAAAATAAAGAGTTCTTTGTTGTTCAAAATGTATATTTCTGTAACTTTTTGCTTTTCTTTTTTTTTTTTTTTTTTTTTTTTTTTTTGCTGCTAGATATAAAACCTCACAATACTGATCATGATTTGCAGGGAAATTCTTTCTGAGTGCATCCAGTGGTTACAGACAGAGCATCTCAATGTTCAACTTAATGCTTTTAAAGTAGCAATGAAACGAGTGTTCATTGTGAAGTGAACAAATACTGGTGGAGTGTAGGATCCAGTGCTTGCATTTGGATTATGGCTAATAGGACTAAAGGTAAGCTTAACCTGGACGAGATGGCTGCACTTGTAAAGCTTTTAATGTGTCAGTATTCTACTTTAAAAACTGGCCAGGAGTGGGCCCTGCACGAGGTGGCTGAGTCAGCAGCAAGAGTAGACGTAGGTAGATGGCAAGCTTTGATTTTTTTCAGAATGATTTTCATTTCAGTTTGTTTGAGTGGCGTGGGAGGGGAAGGGCCAGGAAGGTTATCTCAGATTTATGGGGGTTTTTTGGTTTATGTTCAGTAGACTTTTGGCTCTTGTTTACATGAAGTGAACGTTGGGCCCCTCAGAGCTGGTGTTTGTGTGGCAGCACTTCAGACCGAATGTTTAGAGACAACACTGGACGTTCTGATGTTAAAGTCGGAAATTATTTTTCCAAGAACAAAGTTATTATATTGCATTTGAAGATCTCTGCATCATTGCAGACATGCCTGAAGTTGTCAAAGAAGGGGTTTATTTAGCTGTGTAATGAGCCCAGGTCCAAAGCCAATGTGCACCAAATAAAAGCTTTAAATATACTCTCAGACCCTGCCAGAGCTGCAGATTGAAGCTGACATCAGACTTGAAGTGAAAATTTATATACAGAAAGTATTTAAATAACTCTATAGAAGTGTACTGATAGTTGTTCTGTTTTGAAGATGAAGCTATCCCTGATAGCTACCAACACAGAGTATTTAAGTTACTGTATTCCTGTGCCCGTGGAAGGGTTGCATGTGGAGAAATCTCAGTTTGCTTTTCTGTTAAAGAGTGTAAACTTAAAGGTCTTGCAAAACCTACTTCCTGGGGCAAGTAACTTGAAGAGGTAAAAAACACTTGGAAGTGGTCAAACGTACTGTGCTGAGTTCACTTACATTTGGTGACACAAATGTCAGTGGGGTCAACATTTGGGTAAACATTTGCTCCCATTTCAGGCTGTGATTGTCAGGAGTTGCCTTACTTCAGGGGAGGAGTTCCTTGGGAAATGGTTCTTGTTGCTGGAGCACAAGAAGCTCGAGTTCAGAACAATGGCTAAAATAGCATGGAAAGCCTATTATAGAACCAATTTAAGCTTCCCTGTCTGCTGCCTCCGTAGCAAACAGGGGTATATTTACTTGAACAGCTTTTCAGAGAATTGCACAGTTTCTAGTCATAGTGAAGAGGTTTTTTTAAGTTTTGACAGTCTGATTTTTTTTTTCCAGGGGGGAAAAGGGGTCTCTTCATTTAAATCATAAATGGAACCTCTGCACTTGCATAGGTTCTGACTTAAACCTTGTGTTTTGGGTATATTATCACCCGGATGTTGAAAACCATCCTCACATCTAACAGCCCACCCAAAGTCTGTTTGTTACTACGACTGTATTTTGCTACTATATCCCTTATTTTTCTTAAGAAACATAAATGTTGGAGGTGGCCTCATTGCTTTATGTGCACCAGACTAATGGCTGAAGATGTCTTTGTGGCAATTAACAACTTTGAATTGGAGTCCCTAAGTCTGACAGAGCAAAACACGATAAACGAGTCCGATGAACCCTCTCGGAGTTCTCTTCACTTTGGAAGGAATTCTGTATTAGTTTATTCCCTCTCAGGGGGGAAGGCCTGCTGCTTCACTTGTACTGCTGTAAGGGCAACACAGGGCAGATGGACACACACACACTACCTGGGAGTTCTCATTTTTACGTAACATTTTAAAATGAGGACACTGAAGACGAACTGCAAAAGTAGGCAGGAGTGGCTCTGGTACTTAGATCTCAGCACGACAACTCTCCCACTGCAAATGGGTGGTAGAGGTGTGTCTATTTTTCTAGTTGAACACTTTTTTTAAGCTGTTTCTGTATTTGACACATTAGTGTTCAGCCGACATTGTTACCATCCATTTTACTTTGCTTTCATTGTCGTTTTTAATTTAATATATTTGAGTCTAAGTCCACATAGACTGTGTTGCAATAACTAGAATGATTCACTTTTATTTAGAATTAATTTCTTAACAGAATTTAATCAAAGATGCAGAATGGCTGTTAAGTTAAGGGACCATTAAATGTGATTTTAAGGTTCTGTTTACTATTATGGATGTAATCCTTATAGTAAATTTAATTTTGTAAAGTAGTGTATAATATTGTAATATTAAATCTTTGTTTTCTGAACTCAAACATTTGATCTTCAGTATGAAGTTATAAATCTTCCCCCTTCTGAATTTGAGACAGGATTTACTTGTCCTCCTTTTTACAGTTTGTAATTTTCACTGTTTTATTCCTGTAAAAAGTCATTTGTAACACATGCAAATGCTTATTTTATCTGTGCTAATTTATCAGATTTGGCTACTCAATAAAATTAATTGAAAGAACTCATGCAAGTCCATCACTCCTTTCTTATAAATAAAAATAGAGTAATGTATTTGATAAACTGAGATAAATACCATTTATCAACAAGTTGGTCTCATGAGCCAGCTGACAGTGATGATTGGAATTTAGCCTTCAGCAGCATTCCCAGATGGTGATCAGTTTTCTTGTAGGTGATCCCATATCTTCATTATCATCCCATTCTTTCAGCACCTTTTTGTAAAAGTCATTTCCATTTTATGCTTGCCAATTCTTTTATGGGCTGCTGTCACTGCTGCTTCTGGTTCATCGTGGATGGGTTAATGCATGAGCTTGGTAGTCAGATCTCTGTATTTAAGTGTTGTTGAATACAGAATTCTGTCAGTTTTGTTAAATGTTAATTAGACCTGTCAGCACTGGGGTTTTTTTCCCCAATACACATCCCACTGTCCCGCTGCTGCTGAGCTCCCCCACTCCGGCTGTGGCTCTGGGGTTGGGAACCCCAAGGGTGGGATCTCCTGATCCTAATTGAAGTGCCCGGGGCGTTAAAGAGGATGTGGACGGCGATTATGTGAGGTACTGATGGAAACGATCGCTGTCCCTGTCCTTTGGTTTGGCTCTCGGGTGCTGTCGCCCAGTGGTTGGCCATGGCAGTGTTCAGCTGAAGGAGGAATTAATGTGGCACGGTTTTATCACACCAGGAGAGGTGTGATGAACTCTTAGTGTGCATAAACACGAATATTATGCCTCTTGCTAGAAAGAACTGAATACACACCCAGTCCTATAATGCCACAGCAATTCTGGAATCCTGGAGCGGTGTTCGCGTGGTGGTTTTTGCTCAGCGTGCACAGTCAGTCCGCAGCGGTGCAGGGGCAGGTGAGGGCGCTGCCCTGTGTGTGGTGCACACCCCTTGTGTGTACCTCTGTGTGATGCACACCCGCCCTGTGCGCTGAGGGTGTCCCTGTGGGTGCTGTCACTTGTGTGCTCTGCACGGTCCCTGCCCCCGTCATCCCCGTCCCCTCAGCGCCGCCATCTCCCCTTCCCGCCCTCACACCGCTGTGACGTTCCCCCCGCGGCCACGCCCGCCATGTTTAGTGCGGGCTCCGCTCCGTTAGAGAGCGCGGAGAGCGGGACGCTCCCCCGCGAACTCCCGCTTGCTCTTGCCCTTACCCAAAATGGCGGCGCCCGCTTCAGCAGGAGGGGCAGGCGGTGCCCGCGCCTGCGCGGGGCGGGCGCGGTGCCGGGCCTGAGGAGCCGGGGATGGCGGACGGCGGGGAGGGCGCGGTGCCCACACCGCCCGGTCCCCCCGCGGGGCTCTCGGCGTCCCAGCGCCGCGCCGAGCTGCGCCGCAGGAAGCTGCTCATGAACTCGGAGGAGCGCATCAACCGCATCATGGGCTTCCACCGGCCCGCGGCCGGCAAGGGTGAGCCGGGCGGCGGGGTCGGTGTGAGGGCTTCCCGCGCGGGGCTGCGGGGACGCCTCGGGCTCCTCTCGCCCTGAGCGCTCCCCTCGCGGGCAGGAGCGGCGGAGACAGGGCCCACCGGCTCCCCAGGGCCCCTCGGTGCCGCCTGCCCTCGCAGGGATGCTCTGAGAGCAGCGCGACCTGCGAGGGACCCGCCCTGGGGTGAGATCCGTGTGTCACCGGCACATCGGCACTTGGGCCCGGCACTGCCCCTGGACCAGCAGTCATTTCACTGCAAGTGGCTTTTTTTAGCTACAGAAAGGATGAGCCTCCCCTGCAAGTGGTATTTTTTTAGTTAGAGAAAGGACGAGCCTCCCCCACGTTTCCAGTCATTTACTCCTGGCTTTCGTAGCTGGGTTTTTATAGCAGTCGGTTGTCTCCCGTTTGGGTAATGACCAGGCGTTGGACACTTGTGGTTGTCATGCAGGATTTTCTTGCAGAATCATAGGTAGATCCTTTGTATTTCTCCACATGCTTGAAGCAGCCTGACCATCTTGTCAGGAAAATGTTCTCAGATTTTGGTTTATAAGGATGCCCACGAGCCATGCATCACTCTGATTTAACTCTGAAAAGCTGTCCTTAAGCCCCTCTGGTAGGACCAGACCTGTTCTGTGTGTCTCTTGACTTGGCTTTTGTTCTCTGCCACCTCTCTTGCTCTGAGATGGGGTCTTGAGGCTTCATGCAGAGCAGATTAACACTGCTCTGCCTCTGCCAATAGAGAACAAGCCAAATTGTTGGAAACGATACAACTTTTCTAATTTTTAATAGCTTTAATTAACATTTTGTTAGTTGTTTTAATTAATCATACATACTGTGTTAGACCTTAAATCACTTTTAGCCAGTGTTTAGCAGAAAGTTGTCATAAACTGCTTTGGTGGGAACACAGCTCGGGAAAAGTGCTAAAACTGTAAGTTTTGTTAAAAGTTAATCTTGAAATGCTTCAATGAACAAAGCCCGGGAGAGAGAAAGATGTATTG